GGGTGTCAGGTTGAATTTCACAGCTCTGTTCCCTTCCCCCACTTACCTCTGCCAGGGGATTCTCTTCTAAAATTATCCCCCTCCCTGAGCTGGGGGCTGCCCTCTGCTGCCCTTCTCTATCCTGTTTTCTCAGATGGAGAAAGGAAAGCAGAAAGACATGAAACAAGCAAGTATTCCCATCAAAATGTGGTTTAAGAAGAAAAGGAGAGGTAGCTAAGGAGGAAGAAGACAATAGTAGTAGCTGCACTTGTTTGGTCTGTGGTAGGCACTAAATGTGGAGCCTTGCATCTTACCAAATAGACCCATGAGGGAACCATTTTCCCATGTATTTCAGAAGATTAAGAGTCTCAGAGACACTGAACTACCAAAAGAGAAAGAAATGTAGTCAGAAGGGCATGAACTCTGGAGTTTTTATATATAGATCTCATTTTAAATGCTTGCTCTGCCTTTAATAATGTTTTGGAGACCTTGGCAGAGATACCCAATAACCTCAGTTACCCTTACTTAAAAATCAAGAAATGAGCCGGGTGCTGGTGGCTCATGCCTGTAATCCTAGCTACTCAGGAGGCTGAGATCTGAGGATTATGGTTCAAAGCCAGCCTGGGCAGGAAAGACTGTGAGACTCCTATCTCCAATAAACCACCAGAAAACCGAAGTGGCGCTGTAGCTCAAGGGGTAGAGCACTTGCCTTGAGCTGAAGAGCTGAGGGACAGCGCCCAAGCCCAGAGTTCAAGCCCCACAACTGATCAAAAAAAAAAAAAAAAAAATCAAGAAATGCTGAGTGCTGGTGGCTCATACCTGAAATCCTAGGTATTCAGGAAACAGATTTGAGGATCCTGGTCAAAGCCAGCCTAGGCTTTTTTTCTGATTAACAACCAAAAAAGGCCTGAGGAGGAGCTGTGTCCCAAGTGGTAGAATGCTAGCCTTGAGGAAAAAAAAGCCTAGAGACAGCTCCCAGGCCTTGCATTCAAACTCCAGCACACACACGCACAAACACAAATTCTACTTTGAACAATACCTATGAGAGTTGAATGTGATGATGTAGGGGAAAGGGTGTTGTGTTTGTAAAACCTGGAGAGAGTGGAAGAGATGTGCTACAGAAAAGGTGTAATCTGTTATATATGGGAAGGAATGAAGGAGAGCAAGGCTGGTAAGGAATAGAGACGTGAACACCAGTGAGGCCTATTGTAAACAGAAGGTGTCCAGAGAAGCGGTACTTGCTTTGCTGAAATGTCAGCAGTGAGCATGGATTCCATGCCTGAATGTACAGAAGGAAATACATGACTGAAAACAAAGTATGATGGTTGTGTTTAATCTTCTGTACGTTGGAAAGGCTAGAGTTGAAACGCAAGAATGTAACAGAGAAATCTATGCAGAAAGATTGTTCAGGGATACTGAAAGACTATCTCCTAACAATTACCAATATCCCCAAGACAGATTTTCCCCTTCTTGGATCCTTGTATCTTGCCTACTTTGTACAACTTTCCTTCAGATCACAATTCCATAGCCTGTAGATTTTAACCTTTTAGTATCATAGACCCTAGGAGAACCTACTTAAAACTTTAGAAGAAAATATATATCAGTCATGCCTATTTACAAATTTGCTTTCAAGTTTAAAAGCTTCATGGAACTACACAGAAGCCTATCTTTGGCTTTCCAAATCAGAACCTAAGCACTAGGTCCAATGGGCTGTTGGAATGAAGGCTGGGCCTGATTTATATCTAGGTTTCTTGCAGGAGAGCATGCATGAGGTTTAAACTATTCCTAATTTTGAACATGAGCTAACTTACTCTCTGGCAGAATAGATATCAGCACTAGCAGCCTGTGGTTGTCTTTAATCCTCCTAATTTAAGAAGGGGTTCTAGAATTGTAGCTGATGGTTTGGAAAGACATGTTCCCACTAGGTCTGGCCAATGTGAATAGCTTCACAGTCCTGCTAGTGTCTGCCTTCAAATATTAGTCCATGACTGAGCTGCTGTTTTTGTGACCTGCTAATAGGAACTGTAAGGAAACCATAATTGCTTGTTTTTAAAAGTTCCATATAGAAGGGAAAAGCAAAGGAAAGGGTGCCACTGTTCCAAAAACAAATATTCATTACCTGATTTGTGAAATGATAACCCCCTGTGTACAGCACCTTAACAACAATAAAATTTTATATATATATATATATATATATATATATATATTAACTACCTTATAGAAACACTACCTTGAGAGAGCCTGATTTCACAAACAGGTGAAAAATCTGTTTTTGAAGCCCTTCAAGAATATAGTCTCACTTTGGTAATCTTTATTAAAAAAGGGTTCCTCTACTCAGGAGGCTGAGGTCTGAGGATTAAGGTTTGAAGCCAGCCTGGGAAGACAAAGTGCAGGTATGTCTCAAGTGATAGAGGAACAGCCTGAGCTAAGCCAAACAAGAGCTTTAGACTGTGTGTTCAAGTCTCAATAGTCTCTCTCTCTCTCTCACACACACACACACACACACACACACACAAGTGCAAGTTATCACACAGACCCTTTAATCCCTCAGCCATCCAACTTTTGTTATCTGTGGGTGGATACATAGGACTAATGCTAGAAAAGATGTTGGTTTTTTGTTTGTTTTACTTTATTGGTATGTAACTGACAAATAGGAATTGTGTTTATTTAAGATGCAATGACATATGCGTACATTGTGAAATCACTACAATCAAGGTAGTTAACCACCTCATAGTTACTTTTTTATTGCTGTTGTTGTTGTTGTTTTGCCGGTTGTGGAGCCTGAACTCTGGGCCTGGGCACTGTACCTCGGCTCTTTCAGCTCAAGGCTAGCACTCTACCACTTGAGCCATAGCACCACTTCTAGCTTTTTCTGTTTTATGTGGTGCTGAGGAATCGAACCCAGGGCCTCATGCATGCAAGGCAAGTACTCTATCACTGAGCCACCTTCCCAGCCCTCATAGTTACTTTTGTGTATATGTGGTGAGAACTCTTAAGATCAAATATTGTATATCTGAATTTTGCTACCCTCAGCAAATTTCAGCTATTAAATACAGTTTTAAGAACTAGTCACCATTCTGTACTTTAGCTCTCCAGAACTTAACTCATCCTGAATGACAGAAACTTGAACCCTTTGTCCAGTATCTGTGTCTATCCAGTATCTACTCTCCTGGCCCAGCCCATAGCAACCACCCTTCTCTGCTGCTATGATTTTCCCTTTTGTAGATTCCACATGGAAGTGAGATTATGCAGTAGTTGAATGTATCTGGCAGATTTTACATAGCCTGTGTCTTCTTTGTTCATCCACGTCACACACCTGACAGATTCATTTTTATCTGAATAGTATTTGTGGCTGACTAGTAGTCTATTGTCTTATACACAATCTTTTCTTTATCTACTCATCTGTTGATAGATGCTAAGATTGTTTCATATTTTGGATAATGCTGGAAGGAACAAAGAAGTATATTTACCTCTTAACGACTAGGATCTACTTTTCTCTGGATATATGACTACAAATAGTACTGTTGAATCATATGATAGTTATAGTTCTGATTTGGCTGGGATCGTCAATCCTGTCATCCATCAGGACTGTGCCAATTTCTGTTCCCACCCACAGTAGTTTTCTACATTCTCTCCAGTGTTTTGTCTTGGTCAAAAATGAGTAGCCATTCTAACAGGTGTGAAATGATGCCTCACTGTGGTTTTGATTTCATTTCCCTGGATGCTGGTGATACTGAGCACTTAGGAAAGGTACTATCAATGAGTTTATCCCCATTTACTATGGGCACTTCTATTTAGCTTACATCAAAACTGAAGCACATGTTTAGTGTCCCTACCCTGCAGTTCCTGAATCCTCTCGGTGATGGATCCTAAAACCTCACTTTTCCTCAGTCTAGCTTTTCTTCTATAGTGATTTTAAAGGGAAAGAATGTCTTAGGAAAATTCATGGGGGAAAATAAAATTAAAAAATGCAATGCCTGATAGACTAGTTTGGCCTTGGACAAAAAATAATTTATTGACCAGAAAAGGGAAGAATAGATACCTTCATCATATTTTGATATCAGACTCAATGTGAGAAACATTCCTTCCCTTCCCACCACCAACTTCCCTATGCCTCTGGTTCACTTCCCTTCTCCCCTGTTATCTAACCTATCCTAATAAAGATGTCTTGGGCACCACAATTTAAATGGACCTTCAGTCCCTCCTGTAGGTCAGAACTGGTAGTATCACTGACACACGTGATTCTGGGAAATGGGAGCCATCCTGGAACCCAAGATTATTACCCTTGCTTCCCACGAGCATTCTACGCCCTGAAGGTGATAAGGTTGGGACCCCAGGGTTATTATTAGCAGCCTCCAGTAGACACAGGGACAGAGCTGGAGGAGAGAATGAGGTGTAATGGATGGGAGGAGATGACCAGATGTTCAGGGGCGAGACGAGGACCAACCCTGCAAAGATACCAAACTGAGAACAAGCCAACAGGGAGAGATGGCTGAGCGACGCCAGCTGATCTCCCAGGTGAGTACACTTGTCCAGTTTTCCCAGATCTTTGAAAGACTTCATCTAGCACCACTGCACCCTTTGCCTTCTACATACTCTGGCTGAGGTCGCAGCCTTGGAGGGGCTCCACATGCAGCCTGGAGAGCATAGTAAGCAGTTTCCCATCCTAATCTGGGAGATATTTATAGAGGGACCAGTTTCCTGGAGCTGGAAGCCTCCTAGTGACTAGGGAGGGGACAATGCTGCTGGCTCACAGAGGGAATTCCCTGTGGGGTTGTCCCACAGGTTCTCCCAACCCCCACCCCACCCCCCCACTGCACTCACACCTGCTTCGACCCCAAGCAGATCAGATGTGGCAGTGGGGGGGGTCATGTGATGGAGAGGCAGCTATAAATAGCTGGAGGTGGGCATGCTGCCCCAGACGCCTTGGGGACAGGCGAGAGCAGAGGCTTAAGGAGCTGCACTGGGGCTAGAACGGGGGCAGGCAGGCCAAGGCCTGGCCCGGGCTGTGGGGGCGCCACATGGAGCGATCCCTGTCCCAGCGGCATGGGGGGGAACAAAGCTGGTGGGGTAGTGCTCCCCAGTACCAGTATGTGCCCTTTGAGCACTGCACCAGCTACGGTCTGCCTTCAGAGAATGGAGGCCTTCAGCACCGGCTCCGGAAGGATGTGGGCCCCCGGCACAATGCCCATCCTACACAGGTAAAGTTTGGGGGTGGGGTGGGGAGGGGTAGGTACTGAGACTGGGGCCAGGGCTTGGTGTAAATTAAGAATCTGTGAGAAGAGGGAGCATTGTCCATTTACTTAAAGTACATGGTAATGTGTTCACAATGTGAAAATCCTTCAAAGGTCTGGGATCACTTAATACATTTAGAAGTACATGCACTAATAATATGTAGTATGTACTAGTGGAATAAGTGAATCCTGTGAGGACCAGCAGGACCACACATGCACATAGAACCTGGGCTTATATAACCTACCCAGAGTGATTCTGTAGGACAAGGCTACAGGTGTCTCCCATGCCTTCACCCACATGCAAACATCATGGGAATTTGTGCCAAGTGATGCCTCCCTTCCCCCCCCCCCACCCTTCTATAGGAGGATAAGTAGAGAAAGCAGACTGAGTAACATGAGTGGTTAAAGATTTACTGGGTGTCAAGTAGAGAAATGTAACCGGACTTTTAGGGGCCTGATATGTAGCTCAGTGGGAGAACACTTGGGTGGAATGCATGAAGTGTGAGACCTTCAGTCAGTCCTCTGCTCACAAAGTTTAAAGAACAAAATGTGTTCTGTGAGATGCAGAGCACTCTGAAAGATGCTGAGATGGGGAGAGGGGTAGGTGTCCTCCAGGGTTGGGGAATCTAGGAGAGGGGGGAATGGGAATGGACACAAGGAAAGCAGAGGTGAAATTGTTTTGGGAAATATTAGTAGATATGCTTCTAACTGCAAAGAATACAGAGTGAGACACAGGATGGAGTGGCTGGCAGGCAGAAGATGAGAGTTTAGAAGTCCTTCAGATGTCCAAATGTGAACCAGAAGGGTGGGCTGTGCAAATGAACTCAGCCAAAGGCTCCCTTTCCTGTCCCTGGTAATTATAGAGCCAGCATGAGAAGGGGAAGGGGTTTGTTAAGCAGAATATAAGCATCGGTGCAGGCTACTTCTCACTGAGGGATTGGGGTAGAGTATCATTTCAGGAGGAGGAGGAGAAGGAGGGGATGACAACTTAAGAAAAGCAGTTAGAGCCCGATCTGGTGACAGTGAGGGCACTTGGTGAAGCAGCCTGGTGCTTCACCAAGGAAAGAAAGGGCAAGTTAGTTTGGGGAGTAGAATTCACCTACTCTCCACAGGACTTTGTTACGGTTTTTTGGGGGGTAATTTTTATGATGGAAAACTCCAGTTACACAAAAATAGAAGGATGTAATGGAACCCTAAACATACAACAGTCATCAGTATCTTTTCAAGGTTGTTGAAGCTACCTTTTTCGTTTCCATCCTCTCCCCTCCACACAGGCTGAGTACCATGCTTCCCAGGCATTGCATCCTTCATACACTTTGGAGAAATCAAGGGGTTTTGATTTCTCCTTCCCTTTCTGTTGTATAACCCTGCCATGCTGTGGGGATTAGTGCTAGACAAGCAGGATTTATTACTGTTATTTATCTGGCTTTATTACTGTTTTCCCCCCACACCCCACGCCCCCAAACAGGTTTTTGATAGGAAGCACGCCCTTTCCTAATCTCTATCAGCCTGAAAACCTCCAGATACCAAGACAGCCCCAGTTACCTGGCCTTCACTTGTAGTATTTTCCCTCTCTGGATCCCAGACAGGGTTTGGAGGGAAACGTTACGTCCTCCGTCACTAACCTCATCCCAGGAAAGGAAACAGACATGAGCGGACAGTTACTTGTGTGTCTTTAGGACCAAGGCGGTAAAACTCCTCTGCTCATATTGTGAAATCAGATCTACCCAGACTCAGAATCCACAACATTACCTGGCCTGACCCTGGCCCCAGAGGACAACTTAGTGTAGCAGAAAGGGACAGACAGACACAGAGTAGCCAGCGCTCTTGCACACTGCACAGACACACTTGCTACCCACCTTCCTTACTCTCCTCATCTTGATTCAGGAAGAAGTAGATTGACTTGCCTGATCGGGCCTGGCTCCTGTTTGTGCCTCCAAGCCCTGAAAGATAAGATGGTTGAAGACCCAGGGGCCTCCAAGTAGATAAACCCAAGAGTTATCTACCTGGATAGAATATAAAAGCTGTATATGTTAAAAAATAAAAGCCATCTGCTGGTTAGGCCACTCTGTCCTTCCCCTGCCTGTGTTAGGATCCCAAGTACAGGAGCAGAGCAGCAGGCAAGATCTGTGGGAAGTGTAGAGACAGACATACAGCAGTGAGGGATGTATAAAACGTTCACCTGGTATAAATGCCCAATGAGCACCGTTCTCAGGGTGTCATCTGAATAGAAGCTCACCTCCTTAAAGGAAGACTATTATGGGCTTGAGTCAAAGTGGGAATGGATAGATGCGGGGAGGAGGAGTGAAAAAGATATGTAACTAGAAAGTGGAGCGATGAATGCAAGAATGACCACAGAGGATCTTGAAAACAGCCATCAATGCTCAGGATCCAGAACAGCTGCTTTTCCTCTTTGAATCTATGTGATGTTCTCTATCCTTTGAGTCTATGTGATACCTGTCTATTCTTTTTGACTCCCATAAGACAGTGCCCATTCTTCATCCATTCAGATTTATGGCCATCACAGAGAGCAATACTCAAACAAGGAGCAGAATGTGGGGATGCCCACGAAGATGGGCTCCAGTTCTACCGTGGACAGCAAGGATGAGGACCACTATTCTAAATGTCAAGGTGATGGGACTGAGGAAAAGGAGTCTGGAATAGGAGGTACAGGGACTAAGAGAATAACTTGGAGCCCTGTTAAACATGCACTTCCTCTCTCTCTCTCTCTCTTTCTCTCTCTCTCTCTCTCTCTCTCTGTCTGTCTGTTTCTTTCTCTCTCTCTCTCCCTCTGTCTGTTTCTCTCTCTCTCTGTCTGTCTGTTTCTTTCTCTCTCTCTCTCTCTCTCTCTCTCTCTCTCACACACACACACACACACACACACACACACACACACATGCACAAGTCCTCTAGGTATGCAGGCAAAGGTACCCCTCCACCTCCTTATACTTCGTTCCCTCTGTCCTTCCAAATACCAAGAAACAAAATTTTTCAGAAATGACTTCATAGGGAAATGGGGTGTGGGGCCTTCTTCTGAAAAGACCTAGGCAGCAAGTGACAGTTACAAAGAGAAGTCCAGGCCCGGTTCCTCCCTTCCACCCCTCAGCTACGTTCCCAGAGCAGTGACTGGTGAACTGCTTCTCTCTTTGTTCACCCTTCCCTCTTCCTAGGTTGTATCCACCGCCTGGGACAAGTGGTGAGAAGGAAGTTGGGGGAAGACTGGATCTTTCTGGTGCTCCTGGGCCTCCTGATGGCTCTGGTCAGCTGGTGCATGGACTATGTCAGTGCCAAGAGTCTTCAGGGTAGGTCCTCCCTGGACCCTTGCCCTCAGCCTTCTCCACACAGAGACTCTTCTTGAGTTTCCACTTGTGTCCAGCAGGATGTGTTTGGACAGGGGATGAGGCGAGGAGAGGTCAGTGTCAGGGGTCAGGGGTTAGGTCTGCCACAAGACAAGACCAAACTCATTGATAATTGAGCGCCAGATGCAACACCTTTTCCGCTAGCTTCCACCCAGGCTATGGGGCTCCTCCATTGGAGTTGCCCGCTTGTTCCAGTTTCCCAGGGATTCTTCCCAGCTTCAGAACTGAAGGCCTATGCCTTCCTGGTGGGTGGTCCCACCATGGCCTCTGCTTCGCACTCATTGTGACCTGCAGGCAGCTACTAGCTGTCTTTGTCAGGGGATGGAACGGGCACTTTGCAGGCACACTGCGGCTCAGGCTTCTCCCGTATACTATGGGGTCGGAACCCTAGGAAGGTGGGTAGGCCGGACGTCCAGGGCATGAGGAGGTGGCCAGTACGCTGTCCGACTCTGGGTGTGGGAGTGGAGGTAAGACCGCCACTGCCGTCCCCCCTCCTCCACTCCTCCACTGATCCAGGTGCATGTCCCTGCAGCCTACAAGTGGACCTATGCCCAGATGCAGCCCAGCATCCCCCTGCAGTACCTGGCTTGGGTCACCTTCCCGCTGGTCCTCATCCTCTTCAGTGCCCTCTTCTGCCACCTCATCTCTCCACAGGCTGTTGGTGAGAACTTAACTAGGAGACTCCATACCATCTGACTTCCTCTGACTTCCTCCTGTCCTCCAGCCCTACCTCCAGCCCTGGATGGCGTCACCACGGCCCTCCCTACCATGGTCTCTTAGACCCTTCCCAAGCCCATTTGCATGTTCATCTCCCATGTAACCTTTAACTTGAAACTGTATGTAATCCTTCTGAAACCATGTTTAGGCTCTGGAATCCCTGAAATGAAGACAATTCTTCGAGGGGTTATTCTGAAAGAATATCTTACACTCAAGGCCTTCGTGGCCAAGGTGGTAGCCCTGACTGCAGGGCTGGGCAGCGGCATCCCTGTGGGGAAAGAGGTGGGTGTGGGTATGGATTTGCTGAAGTGTGAGCAGAGAGAGGGAGGGAGGAAGGGAGGGAGGGAGAAGGAAATGAGCTCAATCTAGAGGGCGCTCTGGGAGCAGAAGTAGAGGGAGAGTGACCAAGGAGCAGTGGGGAGGAGAAACCTTGGAAGACTCCTCCTCCTGGGTGGAATGACAAATATCAGAGCTGGAGAACCTTAGGATAATCAGCCTTTGGGGCTGGCAAGCTCTGGGCCGTTGTCTTATTCACTGTGGGATGCTAGTGACCGGTATCCCTGATCATCAGCCCTGAATTCCAGTAGCAGCCCCATCTCTGACAGCCAGAATGCCTCCAGACATTGCCAGATGTTCCTTGAGGGGAGGGGTGGGGAAGAGGGGAGGAGGGACAGGGGACCTCTGCCTTAGAAGTCCATCCCCCTGTTCTCATAGGAGAAAACACTTAGAAGCCACGTTTCATTCAGGGTAACACTTCAGATCTCCTGCAACCCTACGCTTCTGTGCACTCCTGCCCACTGCTGTCAGTACTCCAGGCAGCAGCCAGAGGCATCTTTTAAAAATGCAATAGGTCCTCTCTGACCTCTGGTAGAAAACATTGTACTTTTGCATTCTACTTATTCTGCACTGACCCCTCTTATCTGTCCCGTCTCCCATCCCTCAACCATCCCAAACTTGTCCTTAGTCAGACTTCTGCCTCTGCTATCCCGTCTGCCCGGAACGCTTGTCCTCGACACCCAGGAACCTCAATCTCACATCACTGTAACTGCCAAAGAGGCTGCCCACCCACTTCTCTCCCCACTCTCTCTCATTTGCCTACTAGCTCTGGGCATTGTTTGAAAAGGTTAAGACAATGGCTTTCCAACACACTGTCTGGAGTAGGAAATTCTAGATCAGTGAAGCTACAAAGTCTCCGCTCCAGACACTCTGCTCACCCTGAGCCCTCCTTTCCTGCCGTCTCCCAGGGCCCTTTCGTCCACATCGCCAGCATCTGTGCTGCTGTCCTCAGCAAGTTCATGTCCATGTTCTGTGGGGTCTATGAGGTAAGGCTGGGACAATGTGGTACAAGAGAGGCTGGTGGCCGGGGACAGCAAGCCTCATGTGCACAGGGAGCTGGGGGGCTGCCTGCTCCTGCTCCAGCCTGGCCATGGTGCTGAAGGGGCGTCGACTAACCCATGCTCCTGTTCTCCATGCCCTGCCCACTGACCCCAGCCTCCTAATGTCTCTGTCTAGCCTATGCCTGCCCTCCTCCTGTCCTGCCTTCCTGCTCTGTTCCTCTCCAGGGTGGGGCCTGCCCTGTGTAACTCTGCCAGTCTACTTGGTTCCTCTATATCCGGTCACCTCCACCTTCCTTCCTGAACCATCTCTGTCCCTTCTCAGTTGCCAACACCCACCCCCATGCCTCCCCAAGTACTGTCCGCCTCTCCCACCCTGCCACCCTTTGTCTGGCGTGCTTCTCTGTTGCAGACCATGCCTGGGCAGCTTGACCTCCTGGTGCCAGCCTGTGCGGTGGGCGTGGGATGCTGCTTTGCAGCCCCTATTGGAGGCAAGTTTCACTTCCTCCCTACCTGGGTTGCCTGAGCTGAATGTGGAAGGGAGGTTGGATGGCTGCCATAGGTTTAGGGTGGAGGGGACCATACTTACCCAAGGGACCGGTGGATGGGCATCCAGGGAGTGACCATAGATCACCACCCCTGGTCTGCAGGGATCTGGATTGTTCTTCCCAAAGGCTGTGTGTTCTTCTGAGACCAGATGTTGTTTTGTGCAGGCACTATTGTTACTTTTCTGCCTGAATTCCTCGCCTACCTCTTTCGCTACGACCACTTCTTATTATGAATACCTCCACTTCCTGTCTCTTCACTTACTGATTTACCTTCCCTGTCCAGCATCTATTAACTTCACTTTTATTTCTTTCTCCCATTGTTGGCCTTGAGCCTTGAGGTCACTTCCTGTGTGCTGAGTTCACTGTTTCTCCAGGCCTGGGTGATAGAGAGTCAATCAAGTCACAATGAGTTCCTATGAGTTAGGCTTCTCACTCTACTTTCTCTCCCTTCCCTGCTTGTTCTCCTGCCATTTCTCTCTCCCCTGCCCTTCTCCTTCCTCCTGTCCCTCTGTCTGTCTCTCCCCAGTAGCAGCCATATTATTACACTGACATCCTGACGGTGGGCTGTGCTGTGGGGGTCGGCTGCTGTTTCGGAACGCCACTTGGAGGCAAGTGTCCCCTCCCACATTGGTCCACTTGCTTGGCCTGGCTTGCTCGTTTTTTGTTAACCTCACAAAGTGCTAGGATTAACCAGCTTCTTATTATAACCAGAGCCACTGTCAGTGAGCATTTACTATGTGCCTGGCCCATGGTCTAAGCACTTCACATTGATTTTTTTTTTTTTTTTTTTTTTGTCGGTCGTGGGGCTTGAACTCTGGGCCTGAGTGCTGTCCCTCAGCTCTTCAGCTCAAGGCGAGCGCTCTACCACTTGAGCTACAGCACCACTTCCGGTTTTCCGGTGGTTTATTGGAGATAGGAGTCTCATGGTCTCTCCTGCCCGGGCTGGCTTTGAACCACGATCCTCAGATCTCAGCCTCCTGAGTAGCTAGGATTACAGGCATGAGCCACCAGCGCCCGGCTTCACATTGATTTTTATACCCAGCTGTGTGAGTGAGAGATCACATAGAGGAGAGATCACAATTTCTGGTTTTTACGTGAGCTGCAGATCCAAGGATTAGAATCAAGGCAGTCTTCATATTTCCCACACTTAAATTAAACCCTATTTAAATTATTGATGCTTTTGCCCTGCACATATTATGTCTTATTATGGGATGCTATGTGCTTCCTTCTCTAGGAGAAACTTAACATTTTGTTGTGTTTTTTATTAGTGGACAAAGAGTTTAAATGGATCTTATTCATATTAGTGGTGAGCTTTAAGGTGAGCTTTATGGGAGTTTAGTTTGTATTATCTTTTTTTTTTTTTTTTTGGTCCATTGTGGGGCTTGAACTCTGGGCTTGGGCGCTGTCCCTGCACTCTTCGGCTCAGGGCAAGCGCTCTAACACTTGAGCCACAGCGCCACTTCTGGTTTTCTAGTGGTTTATTGGAGATAAGAGTCTCACGTGGACTTTCCTGCCCAGGCTGGCTTTCAACCGTGATCCTGAGATCTCAGCCTCCTGAGTAGCTAGGGTTACAGGCGTGAGCCACTGGCACCCGGCTGGTTTGTATTATCTTTAAGTGGTTGTACACAGGTGTTACCATTCAACAGTGCAGTTTATGAATACAATGCATCTTGACAGTATCATCCCCTTCAACATTCTCATCCACCCCTCCTCCCTCACCCCTCTTAGTTTTGTAGGATGGACATTAAACTCTTGACTGCAAAAAAATCTGTAATTTACAGATAATGTTCAGCTCTATCTATCCATATAAGGAAAATAGTGGTCTTTCAGATTATTATTGTTGTTGTTATTACTATTATTATTGTTTTGTCAGTCCTGAGGCTTGAACTCAGGGCCTGGGCACTGTTCCTAAGCCTCTTTGTGCTCAAGGCTAGTACTCTACCACTTGAGCCACAGCACCACTTCCAATTTTTTCTGAGTAGTTTATTCAAGATAAAAGGCTTACATACTTTTCTGCATGGGCTAGCTTTGAACTACAGTCCTCAGATCTCAGTCTCCTGAGTAGCTAGGATTACAGGCATGAGCCACCAGCGCCTGGATCAGATTTTTTAAAAATCATGTATAACTAGCAAATGGACAGAAAGACAGTTATACGTGTTGATTCATTAAAATCAGTGGTGTCTAGATTAACAGGGCAAGGATTATATGGATTATTCATCAGATTCACTGGTGATATAAAGAATACCATGTTGGTCAATGAAGAATAGAACTTTAAGAAAGGCATATGCTTTCTGAATGACCAGCTGCTAGAGGTTTCTTTTCAATTATGAACATGTAATCAGTCTGTTCATAGAAGAGTCTTCTAGGTTGCTAACACTGCTTGGCTCAGGAGTGATGTATGGGTAAGAGTTCAAAGCTAATGAAAATGCATCATGCCACATTGTGCTAACATTGCCCAGGCATGCAGCATAAGGAGCAAATGTATCCGCTGGCATAAGGTTTGCCCCTCAGTTATCAGCTAGAGTCATTAAAGTCATTAGTCTCGGTCAATGGAGGGGATTGAGTTTGAATTTCTACATATGTTAAAGGATCACACTTAGGTGTTTACCCACATTTACCTTTATATCTCAAAAAAATGTCAAAAGTTCAAAGAATTGGGGCTGGGAATATAGCTTAGTGGTAGAGTGAAACCCCAGGACTAGCAAAAAACAAACAAACAAACAAAACATTGGAAGAATTGTTTAGGAAGGAAGAATTTTGTTGTTTGGCTTAGTTTGGTGAGATTCTTTTAAAGCAAAGAGAATGTGCATTTCCTCCCCAAAGAAGAATTTCTGACATGAACAAGGAAGGTTTTTGGTCATGCATGGAATATGGGAAAGGTAAAGCCCTTTGGAAAGTTCCTGATAAAACATCACCCTTGCCAAGTGCTCGTGGCTCATACTTATAATTGTAGCTAACTCAGGAGACTGAGATCTGAGGATCACAGTTCAAAGCCAACCTAGGTAGAAAAGTCTGTGAATCTTATCTCCAAAGAATGCATACACATACACACACACACACACACTGCTCTTGACACAATTGTTAAGCACTTGGAAGTTAAGGTGACATGCTCAGGCTGTTTAAAATGAAATGGCGAATGCTAAATATGTCTGAAAATAGTATTACTTAATTCTTACAAATATAAAACAATTCTGAAAGAAAAGTTAATAGTAAGGTTATCAAATCACAATATAGGCAACACCTGATAAAAGAAATGTCATGCAGCAGCACACTGAAATGTTAAATGTCTCTTTGCCAGACTCCAGCGCTCTTAGGGTGCTTCACAGTTAAAAGGGGTGGCACAGATGCTCTTTTCCAGAGAGATTTCTGGATGGCAGCTCAGGCAAAGCGCTGAAGAGCCTTCCAGGACACCTGTGGAAACCTATGAGGCTTCCCAAAAGAAACAGCATCTGACATGAGGTGTAGTTTCCAAGTAAAGGTCTCTGAGAAAGACAGGCAAGGTATTCTAGACAGAAGAAGTGAGCTGGAGAGCTGTCATTATAGTAAGTATGTGCTATATGTGCTACTATGGAAGACAGTGGGAAGGGTGATAGGAGACGAGTCTAGACAGATCAGCTGTGAAGGTCTTCCTAGGCCATGCACAGGAATGTAAGTTTTTCTCTTGAGGCTAGGCTAAATGTGTTTCAGATCACACAGTTCTTCATGGTATTAATAGACTTTAAAAAAAAATCTCCAAGGTCAAACCAGTTAGAAGATACTTCATTGAACAGCTAGTTAAAAAAAACTGAAGACCGGAAAGGTTATCAGAACATCTGCCATGCTAATATGCATTGTGAATATCCCAAAGGTAGCTGTAGACTTTTCCACGGAGCCTCTCTTGCAGAACTACCTCATGGGACATGGATCTGACTTTGGGAAATGCTGCTGTGGGTGAAGTGAAACCACTGAAAGATTTTGAACAAGGAAGTGACAGAACTAGCTTTGTGTGCCCATCCAATCCCTTCAGCTCCTGTGGGCAGCGTAGAACTGGTCTGTGGATTAGCAGGATTAATCAAAGATTAACTGGAAGACTATTGTCCTAGACGTGATGCTAAATAATGAGAGACTGAGCTGTGCAGATGCAGAAGAGATAGGAAAGAGGCCGATGAATGGGAGTGCGAAGGCAGTAAAACTAACGTGACCTGGTGACTGGTTTTATGTGAGTGGGAGTGATACTGGGAAGGAAGGATAGAGGCTGACACTCAAATTGCCAATAAAGGCAATCGGGCAGATAGTAGTGTTAGGTAACCATGGTGGGGAATACAGGAAGTGAAACATCTTGAGGGAGTTGATCATTTTCATGTGGATTACGTTTAAAGTTCCTGTGGCATAGCCAAGTGATATCCAGTAGGCCGCTGATTGGTGAGTCTGAAACCCAGGAACTGGGCTGAAGCTAGAGATTTGCTAATTGGTAACACGTGACTCCAAGGAGCATAAATGAAGTTGAGAGACAAAGTATGTGTACGAGCATTAAGAGGGGAAGATTTAGAACCATACCCTGGGTTGGACAGAGGCACCAGAACAGGCAGAAAAAACAATCTAGAGTGGGAGAGGAGAGCCATGTTCCAAAGGCCGTTTGTCTTTTTCAAGTCTCTGTTTCCTTTCAGCAGCACATTTTATGTTTGGCTCAGGCTAATATTAAAATTAGCTCTCATTCCTGAACATACAGAGACAGGCTGCTAAGGAAAGTGCTCCCAGATCTATATCGTGGGAAAGAAAACCTAACCCAGGATTTCAAATAAATAAATAAATGCTTATAAAATATTCATAAGCTGGCTAGTTGTATCCAGGCAAATCAAAGCTGCCCTTACTTCTGCTGCTGGCAAAGAAAAGGAGCAAGAGACTACTCCAGTGGTCCCATGGTCTTCCATCTTCCGCATGAGTAGCGAGCTAGCTGCCTTCCACGGTGGTGAGATTCGAAGGGCCGTGTAGGAAGCGTGGCTGGTAGATCTCTGCCTCGGGTTTCCTGTCATTTGCCTGTATTTCTCTGAAATCCCCTCATTCTGTTCTCTTTCTTTCCTATCTGTTTTTCTCCTGTTCTGTACATCCCTAGAACAGGCATTTAAGAGCCTAGAATCTTTTCTGGAAACTCCTAGGTTTAGGGGGAACTCAGAAGTCTCTAAACAAATAGTAAGATCTGAAAGGGACAAGTTGCTCCAAGCATAAAATAAGAAGAAAACAGAGATGGGTGGTCTCTACCTGAAGGGGGGGGTTTGGGGGTTGAGTACTAGAGAAGATGACATAAGTATTGACTACTAATAATTCCCTGCCAACACTCAACAGTTTTTTCCATGATGGAGAGTCACCAAACCACCAGCCCTTTGGTATATGCGTGACTCAGATGATCTGTGGGCCATCCCCTGGGAAGAGAAGCAGAGATCCTAAGGAATTTGGGAGGTGTGATTTTTCAGAGAGAAGACAGAGAGAAGAAAATTCCTAGAGTGTGAGATGTTTCCTGAAGGGGAGAGGCAAGTGGTCAGTCTTGGGCAAACAGACTTCTCTTCACTGTGGAGAAAGAGAAGGAGGGAAATTCTTGCCTTGTTAACATTCTTTTTCTTAGTGTTGATCTCATGGCCATTCATCTTACTACATGTTGTATTTCCCTGGTTATTCTTCCATGTACTTGATTAAGATGAGGCTTAGACAGGTTTCATGAAATTGTATTATCAGTTTCTACTTTGCATCTAATCAAAGCCCAACCAACCCTATTCATGGTACATTGAAAGATTTTTTTTTTTTCTCTGCATCTCTTGGATACTAGCATTTCCCCTCCAAAACAGTACTGGGGAAGACTACAATTTGGCTAGGGCCTGAACTTAGGACCTAGGTGGGTGCTGTCCCTTAGCTTATTTGCTCAAGGCTAGTGTGCTGTTACTTAAACCACAACTCCCCTTCCAGTTTATGGTTGGTTAACTGGAGTCAGTCTCACAGACTTTCCAGCCCTGGCTGGCTTTGAACTGTGATCCACAGATCTCAGCCTCCTGAGTAGCTAGGATTATAGATGTGAAACACTGGCACCTGGCTTTTTTTTTTTTAAATGAAATTCTTGCTTTCTTTTCTTAGAATATAAGTTCCCTCTTATTTTTCTTATTTATTATAAAATTGTCCCCGGAAATGGAAGAGACAGAGAGGCTGGAAGGGAGTGTCAATGCAAGTCTGCAAATCCTGAGCTTTGCAAGACCAGCTGAGCACCTGTTCTAGAAGCTTTCTACCTTTAACTTTCTAGCAGAAATTCCAATTGCCTTTAGATCCCTGTGGGTGTCACCGTGATGAACCCCATTCAGAACTCAATTCTAAGAGGTAGAGAGATCATAACCACTTGATCCTTACATTTTTTGGAATCAAGGACCCATTTAGTTACCACCTCCTCTCACTGACCCACATCCTTGATCTGAAAAACAAACAAACAAAAAAACCCTCCCAAACAAAACAGCACAGGAAGGTATGTGGAACACCAAGAGATCTTTTTTTAATCCACCATTGCACCCCCCACGTTCAAGTGTCAGCGAAAGCTGCCCAGTCCCAGCAGTAGTCCATCCGCATCTGACTCTGCTTTTCTACCCTCCTAGGGGTGCTGTTTAGCATCGAGGTCACCTCTACCTACTTTGCTGTTCGGAACTACTGGAGAGGATTCTTTGCAGCCACGTTCAGTGCCTTTGTGTTCCGTGTGCTGGCTGTGTGGAACAAGGACGCGGGTAACAGGGGGACGCCCCAGGTGCAGCTGGTATGAAATAGGGGTGCTAAGGAAGGGGCGGGAGGGGGCGAAACTCTCAGGGGTTGCTTTAGAAACCAAATGGGTGGTGTTATTTTGGAAGTTGTGTGAGTTGCAAAGATAGAGGACAAGGATCAAGGTCATGGGCTAGGAAGAACCACCTGTGGGATAGTTAGTACACAGAAGGCAAGATTTAAGCAGGAGAAATTAGGAGTCGAGAAAGGAATAGAAGACTCATCGAAAGACTTCCGATTCCTGTCTCTGGCTTTCTGTGACGCTCCCAGTGTAATTCTTGCCTTTCTGCCCTATAGTCACCATCACAGCTCTGTTTAGAACCAACTTCCGGATGGATTTCCCCTTCGACCTGAAGGAACTCCCTGCCTTCGCTGTCATCGGGTGCGTGGGGACATGTGCTGGGAGCCAGGAGTGGCACTGGACTTGGAAGTGGGCCCGGGCTGGGAGGAAGTTGGGGTTCACATGGGTAAATCATCAACTGGGTGGAAGCTAGGGAGAAAGCAAAGGTGGAAGGCTGGTGTTTTTTATCCCTGCAGAGACTGGGTCTGAGGGTTGACAGCCTTGTGTCCATAAAGTTCCAGATTTATAACTTACACCCTCAGGATTTGCTGTGGGTTCCTGGGAGCTGTGTTCGTGTATCTTCATCGCCAAGTCATGCTTGGTGTCCGAAAAAACAAGGCCCTCAGCCAGTTTCTCGCTAAGCAGTGAGTCACCGCCCTTCCCTTGCCCTGCCCACTGGCTTTCTGGTTTCTCCCGTAGTTCCTCCCTTTTTATCTCTGTGCTAGACATTAAATGCCTTTAGAAGGCTGTGATAAAACAGTAGGAGGTTCTGGTACTGGGTACTGCCGGTGGGAGAGTAAACAACATGAGCTCCCAGGTCACGTTATTCTTTTGTGAAAAAAAAAAAATCTCTCTGTTACAAAGAACTGAGATGATAGTGAACAACCGCTTAGTGAACAACCCGAAACCACAGCTTGCTGACATCTGGTGGTGTTCCCCGTAGAGTGTGCAAGGTTGGAAAAAAGGGTTAACTCTGTTTCTTTTGTAGCCGCCTGCTGTATCCTGGGATTGTGACCTTTGTCATTGCCTCACTCACCTTTCCACCTGGAATGGGTCAATTCATGGCTGGAGAGGTCAGCTCTGGGGGAGGCTGAGGGTGCGGGTCAGGTCATACCCAACCCATTGACAAGGACCCTGAGTCAGAAAGGGTAGATTCTCTTCCTGAGCACAAGGCACAAGACACTGAATTGTGAGCCTGAGAAATAGTATTTCCCTGAAGAACCCGTGCCCTCTGCTTCTTTCTGTCACAGTTGATGCCCCGAGAAGCCATCAGTACCCTGTTTGACAACAATACCTGGGTAAAACACGTAGGTGACCTCCAAAGCCTGGGCCAGTCAGCTGTGTGGATTCACCCTCAGGTCCACGTGGTCATCATCATCTTTCTCTTCTTCATCATGAAGGTACCGCTCCCCCACCTCCAACCACCTAGGCTTGTGTTTTCACTTGAGAATCCCAGATTTAGAAAGGGTACACCTCGATCTGGTCTTCATCCAATCTAAAGAGCAATACTAGGAAACCATTACCTAAACAAGTTGTGCCTCTATAAATGTGAACCAAAAACTGGGGTAATTGCGCCATTCACATCCACATAATGATGTTTGGCATAAAGATAATAACCCTTCTAATGGCTCCACTTGTTATCTTATTAAGGCATTACTGCAGCCAAGTAAACAAAGACTAGACTTGAGGTTAGCAATGTAGATAACTATGTAAAACTCTCAGATTAATTAACCAAATTCCTCCCACTTATTAGATAATTAGGTACTCCATTCTCCATATAGCTGATTATCATTTTCATGAATTCTACCTCCCCGTTCTGTTGGTAATCTCCCAGATTTTCCAAAAAGTTAAAATATTGAAATTAATTTTATCAGTGATTATATAGAACTTTTACAAACTTTTATTGTTCTCCAATTAGGTAGTGAGGTTATATGAATTTTGACATACTCAAAACATTTTTTCCTAAGACACAAAAATTGATCCCTTTTCCATCGTTTCTTTTTCCGTGTCTGCCCACCAAAGGTCATGTGCTTCTCAATTGGTGCCTTGCATCAAGACATTTCTTTTTTAAATTTCCATTCCTGGTGTTATACCTATTATAACTCTTTTCACCTTAAAAAAAATCTTGTGGTGATTTTCCTTTTGCTAATACTACATGTTGCCTAAATAATCCAACATTTTTTCTGTATATTTGTCCTCACTTAACTTTCATGGTTTAAAATACTTGAATAACCTATTAACCTAGCTACAAGACAATTTACAAGCCTATAGTTTATCTGGATGTGAGTCACTAAGTTTTATTTATATCATTTATTATAGTACAGTGAGCTCCTCTGTTCATTTAGTCAATAAATGGTTTTTTTCAGCACTTACTATGTGCCAAATACAAAGTCTTCCATCAATGATCTTTGACTAATCTATGCTTGCAATTGAAAATGATTACTAAAAAGTTTCCTCCTTTGTTTTTCTTTTCTTTTCTCTTTCGGCCAGTCCTGGGACTTGAGAACTTAGGAGCTGGGCACTGTCCCTGAGCTTCTTCTTGGCTCAAGGCTGACACTCTACCATAGTATGATTAGAGATAGCAGGCCCTTCCCACACCAGGTGTTGACTCTGACACTTATGCTCTCAGAGTCTCGGCTGTGTGTTACTTGAAGCTCTGTTTGTCTGTGTTCTTCCTAGTCCACTTGAGAAGGGTCCCTTGGATCTATAGCTTCCATATTTTATATTCTCCATTTATTAATTTCATCCTTTTTTATTTCTTCCTTTACAATGTTTGATACTTTTGTCAAAAAGGAGTCATAATCTTGTTAGGGATTTAATTTCTAGACTTTCATTATAGTATCTGTCTCCTCTTAGTTTACAAACTAAGAGTATTTAGTGTATAACTAAACCCATATTTAATCTACAAGCCTACCTGTACTAATCAAGTTCAAGTTTTAGAATTTCTTATCCAGAGATGATTACTTATAATTTTAGATATTCCTCTAGACTGAGCTATATGGTAACGTTGAGATTGTATATACTATTAAAATGTCAATTTTGAAAACTTTTTTTAAGAATAAAATGCTATATATTTCCCCTTATCTCATCCCACCTCCCCTGACTTCTAATTATATATGTGGATTCCACTAAACAGACTAAAAGGACTCAACTCTATGTTGCTTTAATTAATTTCTCATTGAATATTCCTGGTAATGTTTACATCAGAAATTCATTAGAAAAAAATACATATTTCCTGCACTATATTTGAAGCCTAGCAGCTTGCAGAAGGTCTAATAATCTACAGTATTCATTGCTACGAACCCCTGCGTTGCCTAGGTGTCACTGTTCTCCAGCATTTCACTGCCTAGTTACTAGACTCACAAACATACCCTAATATTTTCCATAGCCAGACTAAAGGATAAAGGTGATTATATTCATCTGTGGATTCTTATAAGGAAATGACAGAGACCAGTTGTTGAGATGTATTTCGGCCTGCAGTTCTGTATATCCAAGGCAAAGGAACCACATTTGATGAAAGAGAATACTCTTGCTACCAGGATCTTGAGATAGGGCAGGGCCACCATATGGCAAGAGATAGAAAACATATGTGTGTATCTTCTTTTCTTTTCTTTCTTTCCTTCCTTCTTTCTTTCTCTTTTTTGTTTATTTATTGCAATTGCTGGGCTGGTGCTCTACCACTTGATATGTGCCCCCAGCCCTTTCTCTTCCTTATGAAGTCAGTAAGAGTCTACATTGGAACTTCCATTCGGATGATCTTGCCTGATCCTAACTGATTTCCAAAGGCTTCACTCTAAACACTAGTCAGATTAAGTTTCTACCCTCTTAATATTTCACCATAGGGATTAAATTTCAAAACACGAAGCTTTGGGAGTACTTACACCATAGCTAAACCAGAGCAGTAGCAAAAATTGTTTTTCTACAATAGGATCCAAACCCTGGTCCACAGAATCAACATAGGCATGTAAGATTCACAGTACAGGTTTTTCATAGCATTGGTGAAAGGAACTTCTCTCTTCCTTCATCTGAAGGCACAGCGAGTCTCATCATAAATCGAAGGATTTACAATGACTCTAATTCCAACTTCTCAGTCCTTTTTAATGAGTCTAACATTATTACCTCGTTAAGTTCTCAGCATAGCCAGTTCTCAACATTTCTAAAGATTTCTTTTTGTGTGATCTTTGTATCACTCCTTCTTATGAAGGGTCCAAAAATAGTGGACTCTGTGATAATAGCTCTCTAATTTCCCAGTATTCTAGAATTGGGTGCTTTAAGTCTTGAGAGTTATTTATGTTCCATGTCTTTCTTTATATGCTTAAAAAGTTTGCTGTTTTCATGTGTCATTCCTTGTGCTGCAGGAGTTGATAACTATGATCTTGATCCTATTCTCATACATATCTTGGAGGATAATTTCATTCACCCTCTGAAATCAGGCCCATTTGTCTCCTGTTATTCATATTACTGGAGCTTTCCCATTAACTGAACCTACAGAATGCCTTTTATCTTCCTCGTACTTATTCTAGGAGATGGTTTATGACAGTTCAAGAGCTTTTAAACTGTTAAACATCATAATCACTTAAGAAGCTGAAACTACAAGTGCCTACAATCCTGTCTCTGGGTAGTCTGTTGCAGTCTCTTCTTAGAAAGGTCTGGCCATTTACATTCTAAATAAGTTCCCTGCAGGAGCAAATATTAGCTCCAAGGAGATTTTCTGCTTTGAATCACTACTGTTTGACCAGCCTCTCACTTGACTTTCCTCCCTTCCTTCTGATCTCCACAGAGCACTGCCAGAGCAGAGAACAGAAATAACAAGATATACTTTCTGCCCCAAGGAATTCTCAGTCTATAGTGTCTTTGTTTTCATCTGTTCTACATAGTCATATTTTGACCTAAAGAAGCATAAGTTTTGCATCATCTCAGTGCTTCTGGAATAAGTCTTCATCGCTGCCTCTTGGCTGAGGGGAACTCTTTCTAAGATTCATAAAACAAGTAGTTCATTTCCATTAGGTTAGTGATAGGAATGACTTTAAAAGTATAGAAACTTTAGCTGGGAGGCGGTGGCTCACGCCTGTAATCCTAGCTACTCAGGAGGCTGAGATCTGAAGATCGCAGTTCAAAGCCAGTTTGGGGAAGGAAAGTCCGTGAAACTCTTATCTCCAATAAACCACCAGAAAATCGGAAGTGGTGTTGTAGCTCAAGTGGTAGAGCGCTTGCCTTGAGCTAAAGAGCTGAGGGACAGTGCTCAGGCCCAGAGTTCAAGCTCCATGACCAACCGGAAAAAAAAAAAAAAAAAAAGAAGGATAGAAACTTTAAACATTAGTTGTTATCACCTCATTCCTAATTAGTTTGAGATTCTTTTCTATTGCTTATTGTTCAGGTGATGTAAATCTGCTGCTTAGTTCACAAATTATGGCTCATATTTTTATGACTTCTCTAGATGTGTTAAAAGTTCAAGCACAGCTCCTTTTCTGTTCTGTTTCTCCATTCTTTTGTGTTCTTTGCCTCAGAATGCATATACCGTTTTTGCTAAAAATGTCCCAATTACTAAAATACCCCTGGTGAACTTGACCCTGGAGATTGTTTCTATTATATTGTCTGACTAATCAGGCTCTAATTTGCCATTTCAGGACAGACAGATCTAATTTTTTTTTTCAGTACTGGGGATCAAATCCACAGCCTGAAAAATGCTAAAAATGTACTCTACCACAGAGCTGTACACCCTCAGTCTCCAGATCTAATTTTTGATCCTTGTTTAAGACAGTTTGATGGCAAAGCAGATGACTCAGGCAGAGGTTCTTCTGTGAGGATTGCCTTCTATGAGGTTTGCTTTATAGCAAATCAAAGTTAGGCTTGTAGTAAGTCACTAGGACTTTGAGGTAGCTGCCACTTAGCACTGAAGCTCCTTTTCAGGAATATAATCTGACCAGGAAAAGGAATCCTCTAGCTTCAAGAGGCTCAGGCTATTCTACAGAGGTGAATTACCCGGGCTGAGAGTACAGCGAGTGAGGATCCTTTGGGAGAAGTGAAAGAGGTACCGTACCTCTGGGGCTTTATTCCTTGTTCTAGGGTGCCAAAAGGAAAATATACTCCAAGTATGGTTGGTTTGTGTTAACCAGTTGGAAAACTTCTCTTACCCCTATGTCCTGGGTGTCTTCTCACTCTGAAAGAACCAACTGTTTTGGTCCTAGAGAAAGACACCCAGGAAGGCATCTAGAAGGATTGGCAATCCCAGGCTTTCTGTGATGACTCTAGAAGCAGGAGGAAAGGGGAGAGGGCAGAGTTGAGAAGGTTTTCTAACACTTCACTTTAACCCTTCTTTCTTATTCTAGTTTTGGATGTCTATTGTCGCCACCACTATGCCCATCCCCTGTGGAGGCTTCATGCCTGTGTTTGTGTTAGGTAAGATCTCATAGTACCTTACTGATAGCTGAAGTATAGGGTAGTTGAAAAATGCTGGGATGGGGGCTGGGAAGGTGGCTCAGTGGTAGAGCGCTTGCCTTGCATGCCTGAGGCCCTGGGTTCAATTCCTTAGCACCACATAAGCAAAAAGAAAAAAGCCAGAATGGCGCTGTGGCTCAAGTGGTAGAGTGCTAGCCTTGAGCTGAAGAGCTGAGGGACAGCACCCAGGCCCAGAGTTCGGCCCCACAACCGGACCCCCCAAAAAAGGGGGGGAGGAATGCTGGGATGGATGCTCGGAGTTTGTATTGGGTTTTAAGACCCAGGGACAGGTTTGCTTCAAAACATAGAGAATACTGGGATCTTGTAAAATTTTGGCTTCTTTGATTTTCTCTCTAGGAGCTGCATTTGGAAGGCTGGTAGGAGAAATCATGGCCATGCTGTTTCCTGAGGGAATCTTATTTGATGACATCATCTACAAGATCCTACCAGGGGGCTATGCAGTAATTGGTGAGACACGGTTCTACCCTCCAACAACCAAAATTCAAGTTCCCCAAATTCTTACTCACACTGCCAACAAATCCCCATTCCAGACTCTACCATATGGTCTCAATTTAATGCTATTTAATTCAACTTTAATTCAAATAACGAAACCTTGGCTCTGCCTCTCATGAGTTTTTATTGAACTTCTGTGAGCCTCAATTTCCTCATGTGGCAAAAGGATTAATAGGGATTAAATGAGTAAATAAGCTGAACATAGCCTGAGTTTTGTCTGAATATTTTGGTAAACAATTTTCCCTTCCATCTGAAGAATCCTGGAATAGCAGTGCAGGTTACTGGCTCAAGTGTAATCAATCTGAGATATGTTAACATGGAATATATGTTAATATTGAGATATTTATGTTAATACATGTTAATATTGAAATAAGAGCAGACGGGGAAGAACTGAGAACTTTGATCTCTAGGCTTTCTCTGCCACTTGTTGCCTTGGTGACCATGGAGAAAATTAGTTGCCCTTTAATTTCTTTGTTCTACAATGACTTCCGAGATAGAGCTATATCTAATACAGTGATTAATATCGTCTCCAAAATTATTATGTACATTCTCTCCTTTCCCTCTTCATTAAAATCCTATAACATATAAGGCCAGTCCTTTCCTAGATAAAGGAGAACTAACCCATTTTATAGTTATATACTCCATCCTACCCCTTTACAAAAGTTTCATTTATAAATAGGACTCCTTTCTCTCTACCCAGCCTCCCTGATGGACATCTTTCCGTGATGATTTCTGATGTATGCACCACCCAATCATGCCATTCTTCCCTTTATTTCTCTTTGTGTGACTTTTTATTGTGATCTAATCACATTTGTCTTCTCCAACATTTTTTGCACAAGACATCTCTCTCATATTTAAATAAGAAATATAGTTAATGCATAAGGCACTACCTGGGTTGATGAGAAAACAACTAAGATATGCAAGACAGATTCCATCTTCAATGGACCTCTGGAATCATTAAGTTCTAAATCTTCAAGAGTTTTAGAAATCATTGAATAAAGCTTTCACTCTGCAGGTGAGAGCACAGGATTCCCAGGGAAGAAAGCTCTGTCCAGACAGTCGAGACATAGAATCTGGGTCTGATACAGGTCTCATTGCCCCAGTTCCACAGGGCAATTCTTGGGGTTTCACCCTGTCCGCTCGTTAACTGTTGGCATCAACACTCATAGCCTAAGGTAAAATGTCATTACTGGATTTTCAAATGCTCAATTAAGACTGATTCAAACTTTCAGAAACGAAGAATAGATCTCATTACCAATTAATATTTGAATACACACAAATGTTTTTAGGACATACGGAAAGCTGTAGGATTATAGCCAAAGAATGTTTTTCTATGAACCAGCATTCTAACCAGCATGGGAGTACTGATACTGACCAGTCCCATCTCCCACCTTGTCATGCCCACAGAGTGTCCGTGCCAAGAATGGCAGCTCTAACTCTGCCACATGTTCCTGTCATTCCAGGAGCAGCAGCGCTGACAGGTGCTGTGTCTCACACCGTCTCCACAGCTGTGATTTGCTTCGAATTAACGGGTCAGATCGCTCACATCCTACCCATGATGGTAGCTGTTATCTTAGCCAACATGGTGGCTCAGAGCCTGCAGCCTTCCCTCTATGACAGCATCATCCAGGTCAAGAAGCTTCCCTACTTGCCTGACCTTGGTTGGAACCAGCTCAGGTCAGGGGCACCAGCTGGAATTAGTTTAGATTTGATGGGGATGGTGACACTCTGAGGTGGAAAATGAAGTTAGGGTTAATGTCGGGAAGCACTGTTTTAAATTCTTTCCGTGATTCCATGTGCTTAATAAATACTGTAAATGACTAAATGCATGGCACACCTCATGGGAGGAAGGAAGGGATAGGAAAGTCCAGAGGCACATCTGATAGGGCTGATCCAGTATGCTTTCTTCTTCCATAGTAAGTTTACAATCTTTGTTGAGGACATCATGGTACGTGATGTGAAATTTGTTTCGGCTTCCTGCACCTATGGGGAACTGAGAAACCTGCTCCAGACCACCACAGTCAAGACTTTGCCACTGGTGGATTCCAAAGGTCAGTGGGGAGAAAGGAAGCCAACGCCCTATTCCCAAACTGGGGACCCAAACAAGAGTTCCATACAAAGGAAGCGCCGCCACCTGGGCCTGTCTTTAGGTCTCTAACCTGCTATGTGAGGACCAGCTCGTGCTCAGTCTTTCTTAAGGAGGAAAAATATAGCCGGAAGCATAAGGCACAAAAACACAGTAAAAAAGAAAAAAGACAAAGAAAAGAAAGGAATACACTAGAGTCCCATTCTTTATGGCATTTATAGTCTATAGTCTCCATGCACATGGAATTAGCAAACACTATACTGAACAACTGCTCATAAGGGAAATATTGGAATATATTCTTTTTGAGACTCTATTCACACCATTATTGTCAATCAGTACATAACTTTGAGTTTTTGTGAGTTCCTGTTTCAAAGACACGTAGTGGGAAGATATTGATTTATTAACTTGGAGCTCCCAGCTGATGATTCCATAAACATGCACTAATGAAGCTTACCCAGTACATGTTCTTTCCAGGAAGACACAACACAACTTCCCCGGGCTTAGCAATACTAGACAATATTTCAGCACTACTGCAGGGGGTACATTTTAAATGGGGAAATCACCACACAGCACAAAGATGTAAAAAGCAGCCTGGCCTTAAGTAGGCTATGAAAGAACACTTGTTCACTTATTCAAGCTGACAGGAGAAGATTGGGTGCTGATTTGTTTGACATGGGCTGGAACACGGAGGCATCAGGCAATTCAAACTTTTGTCACTTGGGGTATGTCTGTGAATGCTGAGAAACACACCTCCTGCATTGAGTAGAGGTTAAAAATATTTGTCAATAAAGCCAATTTGCCAATAAGAAATGCATGAATAATAGAAATTAATGATAAATCTCAAGGCCTTCTCTACTTAACTTGTCATATTTGGTCTTTAATACCTAGACTAAGGAAGAGAGAAAATGTTCCCTATAGAGAAACAAATGTTTTTAGGAAATGGCCTCCTTTTGGCACTTCATCTTGCTTTGAATCACCTCATCCTGTGATAATATAGTTACGTCTTGTCCTCCTCACTAGATGGAGTATTCCTGGATGGTCAAGACTACAACTTCTGTATGTCCAGAGTTCTATTTACTGGATATTCTATAAATATTTTTCTGTGGCTTGAATTATCGCAATAGGGAAAAATTATGCAGGGCTGTTTGGAGCCATTAAAATTGTTAGTTTGGATTTCAGGTAATCAGAGCCTCTGATTTTCTCAAATTAGATTAGTTCAAATGTTTTCCTCCTAAGGAGTTCTAAAGCCACGGCTCTTCATCAGATCTGAGGTGCAGACATGTGCTGCATGCAGGGTCTACATAATAGCAACTCAGGTTTGACAGTATCGTATCTCAGCACCACTGCAACTTCATGGTCTTAAAAACATACTGTTAATTGTTGTAGCAGCAGTTCTACTCAGGAAAAGCGGGCATTTGTCTTCATCCTAGAAGGATGCAGGATCTTTACGTGATGAAATGTTAGGGGTAAATGATGCTTTTCTTGTTTCCCTTGTGAGGTAGAAGACATGACGTTTATATTGCTTATGGACTTCCCCCCCTCCCCCCTATTTTGTCCACATCTCACCCTGTGTGAATAGCTTTTCCTCCTTCATCCTATTTGGATCTGGTTGATTAGACTATTTTTAATACTGAGTGCACCTATTTGCAAGCACCTATGCAAGGGCAGCATCCAAATAAGAATGCCTTAGCACCACCAAGTTTGTCACTGATGGGGGTCTGTCAGTGCTCCCTGGGTGAAATAAAAGGGGCTTGAGTGAGGTCAGCCCTGCAGGACTTTAGGAAGACAGAGCAACAGCTGGAGAAAGACGGGGGGCTCTGAGCTGCTGATGCTCGAGGGTGTGGAGCAGATAGATGCTCAGGGATCCCTGATGTCCCCCAGATTCCATGATCCTGCTGGGCTCTGTGGAGCGCTCCGAACTGCAGTCTCTCCTGCAGCGCCACCTGTGTCCGGAGAGGAGACTGCAGGCGGCTCAGGAAATGGCAAGAAAATTGTCTGAGCTGCCCTACAATGGCCAGGCCAGGCTGGCTGGGGAGAACCTCCCTGGCATGGCTCCTCGAGGCCGGCCAGAGTCCTTCGCCTTTGTGGATGAGGATGAAGATGAGGACCTCTCCGGGAAGACCGAGGTGACCAAGCTGGGAAAGGCCAACTGGACAGGACAGAATGGTGCAAAGGGAAAGGCCTCAGCCAGGGTCACCAGCCACATCCCCACCAGTTAGTGGTGACTGGGCTGGGCTGCGCAGAAGCAGGGAAATAAAAAGGGTGGGAGGAAGGTAGGTGCACTGATAAAGACAGCGCCAGGATTTTGGATAGAGAGACAGAACGTGGAGAGGCACTGAAGAGATGTTGGTGTGTATGAGAATCCAGAGGAATTCTGAGCTGTGGAGCCAAAGAGAGATTCCCCAAGATCTTCTCATAAAGGCAGCGAATTATCTAACTGCCTCTTCTTTGAGACTGAGAAGTTTTGCTTTTCTTCCAGCTCCCTCCTCTTCCTCTTCCTCCTCCCGCCTTTCCTACTGCTCCATTGTCTCCTGAAGAACCTAATGGGCCCCTGCCCAACCACAAACAGCCACCAGAAGCCACAGAGCCTGCAGGTGAAGATGCCCCTGAGCTTGTGCCCTGTGTGCTACTTCTGGGCTCACCTCTACCTAAGGGCTGCTGCTCTGAGGAGGAGCTAGCAGATGACAGGAGGGGGACCTTATGGATGCCTAGGACACACTGCTGTCCCAGGGAGTCGTGACATAGGTAGAAAAGAGGTATCCAGTGGGGTGTGACCCCTAGGGAGCAAAGCCCTTTGGTGGCACAGTGTCAGAGGCCTCCTGGATCCTCTGGGCCACTTGCTCTCACTTTCCACTCCTTTCAGGTCAAAGAGGCTCCATCTTCCAGTGTCTGCTGCGCTGCTTGCTCGGCAGAGCTCGCCCCACAAAGAAGACAACAAGCCAGGTAAAGGGGAAAGGTTTAGAGGGGGATGGAGGAAGGATGCTTATATTTCAGGACTGAGAAACTATGGTTCTTCATTAGGAAGACAGCGTTCCTATTAAGAATGATGACTTCAGGGCCTGCTACATTAGGAATAAATACCTGAGCTCTGGATGCTTGCTTGCTAGATTTTTGGCTGATGGTGCACCCTTCTGCGTAGAAGTAACTTCTGCCTTGCTGAGACAAAAAAAAAAAAAAAAAAAAGAATGATGACTGGACACTGGCACTGCTAGCTCATGCCTGAAATCCTGGCTACTCAGGAAACCGAAAGCTGAGGGTAATAGCTCAAAGCCAGCTTAGGCAAGAAAATCTGTAAAACTTCTCTCCAATCAACTGTGGCTTAAATAGTAGAACATTAGCTTTGAGCAGAAAAGCTCAGAGACAGTGCTCAGGCCCTGAGTTCAAGCCCTAAGACCAAAAAACAACCACAAAAAGATAACTTGGAACCAAGTTCTTCTGTGGTCCTGGCAGGGGACATGGTTACTGTTATATGGAGAACCACAACTGGCATGGAAAGAACATGGTCTTGTATCTTCTCTAGGACTCGCCGGATTTAGTGGATAACATGTCGCCTGAAGAGGTAAGCTAAAAGCAGTAGCTAAGTCCACAGTACGTTGTTATATCCAGTGAAGTCATCACTACTTTCCCCCCTTCTTTCTTAATGTGTTATTATAAGTATAAAGAATGAGTCTAGACAGGAAAGCTTTTCGGAATAAAGTATGATCATAGAGTCATGAGCAGATGATAGGGCACACTGGTATCCCCAGGGGGATGGAATTGTTCCAGAAGCATGTTGTTGTTTGGAGTTGTTCAAGAAGCAGAAGTTCTAGACTTTCCTTTGTGGATAGATAATGGTGCCTTGCATTTTCTTGGAGATGAACATTCCATACTTGGCAGAGGCTGTTTGGGAAGAATGGGATTTATCTGAAATAAAGTGGAACCAGGGAGCCATCACTAAAACCTAATAGGTCCAGGCACTGGTACTCAGGAAACTGAGATCTGAGGATCACAGTTCAAAGCCAGCCTAGGAAGAACAGTCCATGAGACTCTCATCTCCAATTAACCACCAGAAAACCAGAAGTGGAGCTGTGGCTCAAAGTAGTAGAGTACTAGCCTTGAGCAAAAGAGCTCAGGAATATTGCCAATGCCCTGAGTTCTAGCCCCGCAACTGACACAACAACAACAACAACATAATGAGAAGAACTGCATCAAAACTGCAAAAGGAAAATACATTCTCATAGAGGTTACTACACTGAACCTATCAGGCCCTGAAAAAAGCGAGCAACTGGAAATGTTAGGCAGTAAGACTGGGAAGAAGCATAAATTGAAAGAAAATAATGGAGACAGATGCCTGCTTCCTAAAGGAGGTGGATATCAAGTTTATGAGAGAGAGAAAAGAAAAAACATCAAATGCTGAGTCCATGTGGTTGTGAAGAACAAACACAATGTAAAGCAGTGGTTGGATGCCTGGTCAGAATGGTCTCTAGGGGTCGTAGAAGAACAAAAAAAAAAACTGTCCATTAGCAACTACTCATGCAGTGAGAGAGAGTGGCAGGCTGGCTGTGAAGGCTGCTTTTAATGGTTGTAGCTGAAAAAAAGCCATGCTGGATACCAATTTAAAATATACATCTTACTGGACATCCGAATAAATATATTCTAAAGTCTAGGAGTACTATAGGCTTGGATGAAAGACTGTAAGTAGAAAGGAGGGAAAAGAGCCAGGTGTCATTGGCTCACACCTGTAATCCTACCTACTCAGGAGGCTGAGATCTGAGGATCGAGGTTCAAAGCCAACCCGGGCAGGAAAGTCTGTGAGACTCTTATCTCCAATTAACTACCAAAAAGCTGGAAATGACAAACAAAAACTCAGGGACAGTGCCCAGGCAAAGAAAGGAAGGAAGGAAACAAGGAAAGAAGGAAGGAAGGAAGGAGGGAAGGAAGCTGCTCCTTGAAACACACATAAAGAGGCATTCTGTCCTGTCTACAGCAGAATTAGGCCATAATTACATTTAAATATTTTGTTAAGTTGTAACACTAATAATATGTATAAGTATTTTTTATTGCACCAACAAGAGTGAAAAACAGCTGGTGGATTGGATCAGAAAGGCTATTTAATAACTTTTGGAAACAAAGTACAGCCAGGTATAAAAAGGAGATAGATCATGTAAGTCTAGATTATGTCTTTCCCCCAATAAGCTTAAGCAACTACCAAGTGCTGTGCTTGAGATATTTTGTAGGGTAAGATCCAATAAGAGTACAAATATGGCATATTTGAACATACTTTTCAGATGATAACCTTGATGGTACCAAGATGTTGGTTTTGACAAAAATAGTATGGGGGTAGGGCAAATACAAGTAATAGGGAAATAAAGAAATTCACCTGAAGTCGCTGTTAGGATTTAATTCTGTGTATTACATTGAGTACACAGTTAGAGCTCTGTTTTCCAACTCATCCTTCCTTCCTTTGGAGAGAAGTTGAGGCTGTACCCAGAATATCGTCAGCACACAGCTAGAAGCCTAGTTGTATCCATCACTGACCACGGAGCCTCAGACAAGCTATCAACACTGGATATCCCCAGTTGCTTGTCTGTAAAGTGAAGATGAAGATACAGATTGTTGAGGGGATTCAATGAGCTAAGACATGTAAAGCAATTAGAAAGAGGACCATGACAGAAGAAGTTGCTAGTGAACATTCTCTGAAAATTCTCTGCCACTGCTGTTATGCAAGAAAGGCAAACATGGAAGTTCTAAGGGTCTAAAATGACCTTAGAAAGGACCAAGATGGCAGGATGAGCAACCTGAGCCATCGTATCCCTATACCTGAGTCCTCTCTTCTGCTTATCTACGAAGTGGTCATATTCCTGTGCTGAGAGATGCTTAAAGTGCTTGTGAACCTTTAGGTCAGGAGAATGTGAGTTTAGAGGATGTGTGACTGGGTCCAGTCAAGGATTGAATTGTGGATCAAGGTGAATGCCTGTACTGATATTCTCTGAAGCTTAGAGATACAGATTTGGACAAGTAAGGAAAAGGAGAGGTACAGTACCATATCACTCAGAAGGTGCTGATGGATGAACTATTTTAGAAAATCAGTCAGTTATGGTAGCCAGAGACCCAATGGTTCCTCTGGGATCTTGGGGGTCTGGGTGAGCTTAACTGAAGCCCAAAAGATAGAGGGTGTTTGTCACAGAATGGAAAACAAAAAGAAACAAACCCTGATCAAGTCAACTAAGCCATGTGAGGAAATAAGTCTGTTCCAGGTCAACAAATAATCAGAATCTTTGCTTCCAAAAGGCAATTGCCTGGTCTTCTCAGTCTCCAATAAACAACAATTGGCATCGCATACGACTCTCCGGGAGGCGATGTCCAACAGGCAGAGGAAAGACAAATGCCAGCTGAGTGTGAACAATGCCGTGTTTCCAAAGGGTAGGAGCTGAAAAGAGCAGGAGAGGCACACTGTATGGTCAGCCAGGGTCAGGAACAGGTAGTGAGAACAGCAAGGGACAGTGGGGAAGGGCCCCGAAGAACAGGAGGCAGTGTGGTTTGACTGGAGCCAGGGGTCTAAAGGAAAACTAGACTACATGTTTGGGGGCACAAGAAATGGAAGATTTGGGAGACTGGAAGAAGGACCCATGTCCTGGGTACTTGAGGGAGAAGTTCAGATTTCAGGTCTGATTGGGGAGGAAAGGGACGGCACTGTCCCCTGGGAAGAGTATCTGATGGCTCCTACGCAGTTACAGGGCCCTGGGCAAGGGCTAGGAAGCCATGTGTCAGGGCCACACCTCTGAGGAGGCAGTGGTCTCTGGGAGACTGGTTACTTTCCTGCTCTGCACCCCCCCCTCCCCAAGATCGAGGTCTGGGAACAGGAGCAGCTGAGCCAGCCTGTGTGCTTTGACTGTTGCTGCATCGACCAGTCGCCCTTCCAGCTGGTGGAGCAGACAACCCTTCACAAGGCAGGTCCCGGCCTACTGCTCGGGTGTGGACGGGCCAGGAGCACGGGGCATGTGTTGACCTGTGTTCTCCCCACCCAGACTCACACGCTCTTCTCACTTCTCGGCCTCCATCTCGCCTATGTGACCAGCATGGGGAAGCTCAGGGGAGTCCTGGCTCTGGAAGAGGTAATCTGAGGATGTTTCTGGAAGTTTCTCCAGGAGGGCAAGACTGCAGAGCCTGTTATGGCTACAGTCCTGGGGGGTGGGGGGGTAGAGGGGGTGAGGGGAATAGAACCCTAGATGAGGTGAACTGAGTAGGGATAGGAACCCTGGATGGGGTAAACCAGAGTCACACTGCACAGGCAAAGCTTCTTGCCATGTGCCCATCACTTCCGGTTTGAGTATTCTGTATTCTCTCTTTCTTTCGTATTGTCTAGTTCTCCATTTCTCCCCATTGGTGTTGCCTCTCTGCCTTCCATTCTTGTTTCCTCTTGTGTCTGTCCTCATCTGTTTCTTCCTTTCCCATTCTTCATCTCTTTCTTCTATCTTCCCTAGCTACAGAAGGCCATCGAGGGCCACACCAAATCTGGGGTGCAGCTGCGCCCTCCCCTTGCCAGCTTCAGGAGTACAACTTCAACCCGGAAGAGACCTGGGGGGGCCCCTCCTCCTGCAGAGGGCTGGAGCCGGCCACAGCATGGTCCTGGATCCCTTGGAGCAGAGGATGAGGCTCCTGCCTCCTCAGAGACTCCTGTGCCACCCCCTTCCCCAGAGCCCCCTCAGCCCTCGGCCCCACCCAAGGCAGAGGGTGAGCTGGAGGAGCTAGAGCTTGTAGAGAGCCCAGGGCCCGAAGAGGAGCTGGCTGACATCTTGCAGGGCCCCAGTCTGCGATCCACTGATGAAGAAGATGAGGACGAACTAATCCTTTGACCACCAACCACTTCCTGGGCCCTCTGCATGAGGTCTTTAGGGCCCAACCCAAAGGGTAGACTGGTGTGCGGCGGAGCATCCTGGACTTGGGGAGCTTACACTCTATCTTGCCCTTCCCAGGGATTGTTAATTTGAGAGTGATCATCGTAAAGGAGACATTTTGGGCAGGGAGGGGTCCCCATGGAGAGTTGGTTTTAATGCAGGTGAAAGGTTAGCCCCCTGGTGTCCCGTGGGGCTCTCTGGCTTTTCTTGCTGTGTAGATGGGGTCGGTCCCCAGGGCTCTTGTCCCAATGCCACTCTGGCCCATCTACCCTTCAGTTTCACCGGGACAGGGGTGAGGGGAGGTCCAGAATGCCTGTGGCCCTGCTAGTGCTCCACTGGGGAGAAATGTGGGACCACGTGCGCCTCCATGCTGTTCACAGCGGCTTCTCTGGGACCCCCAGACCTCCTGTCTACCTGTGCCCCTTCTATCTATTCTATCCTGACTGTCCCAGGCCAGGCCCATTGCTAGGGCAGGAAAGGCCTACTGCCTGCCCCAGCCTCTGGCCTGGGCTTCAAGCACTGAAATGTGGATTAAACGACTGTCAAGGGCTGAGGCCCAGAAAAGACAAGGTTCCTGAAGGCTCCACAAGGAAGGTGCAGGTGTCTGAGGGCCAAACAATAATGGCCTCATGCCACTGGTGGACTCCCTTTAGCAGAAGGACCTTCTGCTGCCCATCACAGATTCGTGCCCCCCCCCACACCCCGGTATTTCCAGCTAGTCACAAGATCACGCATCTTCCCTTCCCCACGACAGTGACCCACTTGGCACCATTGGAGCTGTGGCAGCTCCTGTCAGGAAGCAAGGCTCCGCAAGGGCAGGGGTCACTCCGACCCGAGGCCCTCCTACAGTAGCTCCTCGGTGCTGCTGGGGTGGAGAGTTGGGGGCTCCCTTGGGATGGCAGATGTGGGGCAGTCACACCCTTGCCTTCTCAGCATCAGGAAGAACAGTGGAGGTGATCCATGCCATTAGCTTGTCTTCCACAGGAAAAAGAGGGCCATATGCTCTGAGCCTCTGTAGTACCCAGCTCCACATGCCAGGCCTCATTTTTGAGGGGTGGGGGTGGGGAGGACTTGAACTCAGGGCCTGGGCACTGTCCCTGAGCTTTAGTGCTCAAGCCTAGTGCTCTACCACTTCGAGCCACAGTGGCACCTCTGGTCTCATGAGCCTCCTGGCCTTTCTTTACCAGGCTGGCTTTGAATCATGATCCTCAGATCTCAGCCTCCTGAGTAACCAAGATTACAGGCATGAGCCACCAGTGCCCAGCAACACACCCCAGCCTTTTATTTCTCCTTCCTTGGATGTCTGTCTTATTTAGTTCTGCAGTTGTGCTTTCTGTTTAGCATTCTTAGCCTGCTCCTGCCCCGTACCCAGTGTCCTCTTACCACCCTCTCCACCATAATCCCCCCCACCCCAGGCCAAAAACAAGACCCCCACCCTCTCCACCATGATCCCCCCACCCCGGGGCCAAAAACAAGACACTCACAGCCAGAGGATGCCACCACATTCTGTTTAGTGTCATTGAACACAGCCTCTGGCCCTTTCCAGCATCATCCCTTCCACCTCCCCAGGCTAAGAGATGCTGAGGCCTGGGCAGGATTGGCAGTGAGCATCCAAGCCCGTGCCCACATGTATATAATCTATAATATTTATATATATTTATATAGAATTCTCTCTGTAATATATGTCATAGAATCTCTCTCGGGCCTGGGGTGGGAATGTCACATTAAGAAAACATGCTAAGACTGGCCATAAAAAATGGCTATTTCTCAGACCTGGAAGACAGAATGTGGGATAGGTAGGTGGGGCAAGGAGAAGGTAAGGAACTCATCCACCGAGAGTCCCTCCTTAATAAATACCAGGATGAGGGAGGGGGCTGGGGGCTGGGAGGGAAGGAATGGAAGTTTGAATTTTCATTTAATAAAGTCAATTGAAAATGAAAGTGCACCCCCCCCCTAAAAAATCATTTAGCAAGAGCAGTGTCATTCACGAGAACATAAAAACAGCCCTGCTCTAGAGCTGCTGTAAAACGTGCTGCACAGCCTCAAATCCCAAAGGAAAAGCAACCCTTCCCACCCACCCCTAACAGCTTCTTCCTGCACATGCCCCCACCCTTCCCCTTAAAATAGGCTAGAAGCAAACCCCATGCACCCTGCCCCAGCACCAGAGAGGTGGTCCCTTCCTCTAGAAGAGTTCAAGTGGTCCTGGCTTGTTTCCCAGGGTCTTTTCTCTGAATGGGGTGGAATGCCTAGCTAAAGCCAGACCCCCACCTGACCTCTCTCTGCGCCTTGCACCAGTAGCTGGGGAAGCCACGCCCCTGCTCAGGTGTGATCCCAACTCATCTGCTTCCTGTCTTTAGTCCTCTTGCATCAGGGACCATTTGGCTTCCTTGAGAAAGGGAAGGAGGAAAGAAAACTAGTCTACCCTTCCTAACTCCCTAGGGCCCTGAGCAAATGCGAACTGTAAGGAATGAACCCACTCACTGGACTACACATCCACTGTGATCTGGAGAAGGAACGTGGAGCACTGAGGAGATGAGAGACAAAGAGAAGATTTTACCTTGACACAATGGGCTGGACAAGGAGAGGAAGCAGACCCCCTGGGAGGTGGGCAGCCTGAGCATGCAAAACCCCAGGGGCCTGTGGTAGGAGACTGGGGCCAGAGACAGTTGCCAGGGAGGGCGGGCTAGCCCTTCCCCGACGTCTTAGAAATAAGGCCCTGGTATGCAGAATCACGACACAATAGCAAACAAGAGGTATCTTCTTCTGTTGGGGCAGCATTAGATGAGGTAAGTGACTGTTTACCTACCTTGCCTTGTCACCTGTTCTCCAGAATCCCCCCAATAGTGTTCCCAGGTTCCTCCCACTGTCCCCTCCTCCCACCGGAGGACACAGGACACCTGCTTGGGTTGCACTTGAGGAGGGAGTGGATGAGAGTAGGAAGCTGATGGACAGGGACAGCCCCATCTCTCAGCTTCCTTCCAAAGCCATGGACAGGCTTGGCAGAGGGGAGTCGCTTAGGATTCCTGACAGTGTATGGGACATGAGGCCTTGGAACTGGAGCTTTGGACAGACGAAAGGAAAGAGGGAAACAGGGTCGTGAGCCTTAGGCTCTACCTTAAGGACCAGGAGGAGGCTGCCACTGCAGCAGAAGGGGTGAAATGTCCCCAGCTTCACTCTCCAGCCCCCTGCCCTCGTAGACCCTCACAGAAGTGCTGGGCTGACTTGCCGCTCCTGTCCTCCATGTTCCACCCCAAATGAGAATGGAGGCTGGGCGTGGGCAGACCTGCGCATGCCCCACAGCCAGCTGTCCTACCAGGAAGAACAGGATGAGTCTCCCTGCTTCTCCCACAGGGAGCTGACAAAGGGCAGAAGAAACCAGTGCCCACCCTGCAAATCCCAGCTCCCAGCCCAGCCCCACCAAGGTGGTGACAGCACCAGACTCCCCCCCTTCCACCCTGCTCAACCCTGAGTCCCCCAAGAAGTTATAAAAATGTAGAAAAGGCAAAGAGAAAAGTGTAAACAGCTCCAGAGAATTAGGGATGGGGGGGCCCAACCTCATGCTCCCCCTCTGGTGGGGACACAGCATCCTGTGTCAACATAGCTGAGACTTGTCCCCACACGCACCCACCCTGGGAGGGGGGGAAGGCCTGGGCTCCTGGAGCAAGGGAGGGAAGGAAGTGGGAAAGAGGGCAGCGCTGGGCTGCCAGCCCTGCTGGGTGTCTTCCCAGATCCTTGGGATCCTCCTTGCAGCCATGGGATATTCAAGATCCCAGAACAAGTGGCCATGTTTGTTTCTCGATCTCCTCAATGGCCTTGTTGTCTCTGGGCAGGCCTTCAGACAAAGAATCATGCTTGTGGCCCTTGTAAGTCGCAGCTAATGCCAAGATAACTTCCTCCCTGGCTCCTGCTAGCCGAAGCCAAATCACCCGCAGAGCGCAGGCTTTCCACTGTGGATGCAGCCCTGCCCGTCAAGCTACTTCCCAGCGCTTGCCAAACCGTGTTCCACAGCCCCCGAGGTCTGCTTCTCACAGTGGGAATGAGCTGGGGCCACGGCCAGAGAAAACAGAGTCGGAAAAGCAAGAGTGAAATGGAGAAAGGAGGCATTCAGACAGCACAGCCAAGGCTCCTGAAAGACGAAATCAGGGGATGAAGAACTGAGATCCAGTCTCCAGCACAGCCGTGCCCGGACACAGACCCAGGAGTCCACAGCCACCACTCTTCTCCCACTCGCCAGGGGTGCAGCCATCTCCTCGCGGGGGGTCTCGGCTCCTAGACCCATGGTTTCTGCGTGTAAGCCTAGGTCAACCCCCCTGCTGGTTCCTCCACTTTCTGGGCAGGCAAAGGCTGAAAGCTCCAGGTTTCCCGTCGTCTTCTGCCCCGGGGTTCAGCCCTGCTGTTGGGGCAAGGGAGGGTGTAGGTTGCAGCCATGCCCCTCAGGAGGGAGTAGGGTACAAAGAAGCTAGTTGTTGGCCTCCCCCTCCTCCTCATCAAATGACTGCACACCCGAGGAGGTGACGTCAGACACCTTCCGGCTAAGAGCAGTGGACATTTCAGGGTCTTCTCGTGGAGAAAGAGATTCCAGGTCCCGACATCCTGCATCCTCTTCCTCCTCAGTGGCCAGAGGCCTCTTCTCCTCCTCCACAGGGCCCCCTCTGGCCAGGTCCACCCCACCCAGCCCTGGGGCCCAGTCAGTGTCCCCCACCAGCAAAGGCGGAGGCTCCTGAGCAGAGTATCCTGATGCAGGCTGGGAAGGCCCCATGTCATGCAGGCTGGGTTGTGAGTCATCAAATGCAGGGCCAAGATAGGATCCTGTGGCTGGAGAGGCAATGAGGGACTGGTCGCTGGCTTCCCAGGCATCTGAGGACCCCAGACAGTACATGCCCTGGGATACGTAGGAGTGAGGCCAGCCATCCATGGGGGCTTGAGCAAGGGCATCTGCGAAGAGAATGAGGAAGGTA